AACAAAATAATTAACATTGTTATTTATAGTTTGCATAAGTGATTTCGTCCAAATTTGAATTTAAAATAACTATGATAAAAATAGTTGTATCTATATACCTATATATTTTTTTTAATTTTATAGTTTTAGTATGAACTACTTACGAAGAATCTTGTATTAGGTACATATTATAAACTTTTATATAAAAATTAAATTTTTATAAATTTTTAACTACAAAATAGTTGAAATTTTTTTTCAATTTTAATGAATTTTTCCAAAATTTTAACTTAAACGTTTTTAAAAAAAATATTATGACTATTTTTTAATCGAAAAATTAGCAATTTACGAGAAGCTTTATATTATATCTAGAAATATATTTTTTTAATCATACGCATGTTTATTACTATTTACTATTTTTACAAACAAAATAGCCAATGCGCTTATTTTTGAATTTAAATTAAATACAGCAAGATTGCCAAAATTATATAACAGTTACTCAAAATTATTCTAAATTTAATTCAATTCATTTAAATAAAATATAAATAGTAAATTTAAAATTTTTTAATTCTTTGAAAAATCAATGTTCACAATTATTTTACTTATTTTAAAGCAACAATAACAAAATTAATAGCTATTTGAAAATAATTATTAAGCTATTTAAAGATAAATTAACCCAATTTACGTTTTTAAATTTTAAATTTTCTTTAGGAATATAAATATTGGTAGGTTTATATATAAATAAAATTGATTTTTTAGTAAAATGATTACAAACTAAGATGAATTCATGTGCGTAATTTCAGTTTTTAATCAACTTTTTGCTTTTTTGACTTATTGTCTATTGATTTGAAATATTTACAGGCCATTTTAAAATTGTAATTAGATGTTCAGGCGTCAATAATAAAATTTACTTAATTAATCTAGTTTTACTAGTATCTAGTTATAAAACCTTTTACCTATATACCTAAAGTAATAATTGTGACATAGGTAAAGAATGTTAAACCCTCCTTCATCATTGCTAAAATTATAATCAGTAAGTAAATAATCTTTGATTAAAAAAGTTCATAGGTATTGGTGAATTTTAATGAATATTTTTCTGAATAAAAATTAAAAAATGGTTTGCCGAAATGTTTTCCGTAGTTACAAAATTACTGCAAGTTTTACAAGGTAAAAAAAGAGAATATGCATCAGAAGTTTACTAATTACGACAAACAATAGAAAATTCACATTTCATAGTATCACTACCTATTTTGTCAGAGTTGGTCTTAGGCGAGGACTTTGCACTTTTGTATCATATTTTAGGCCTCATGTTAATGAAATTATACATATTTCATACTATAATTTTTCGGCGAAATTAAAAAAAAAAAATAGAAATAGGATTTAAATTTAGTGGCAGATTACATTAGAAGTACCTAAACAGAGAAAAAGTTGTCAACTGTTGTTATAATTTTTATTATTATTAGTTATACACTAATATGAACTGTGATATAATTATTTTGTTAACGAAAACGATTTCAAATAATATTAATTAATTATACTGTTAACGTGTTATTACAACAATACACGAAACCCGATTTATCCTGTTCCAAAGTTCACATATTGAGCGATAGGCCGCCCGAAAAAGTAAAAAAATGTATATTTATTACAATATCGACGTAATATTAAGTAAAAAACATGTATTTAAAAAAACTGATGTGAATATCCTGCGTGCGCCCCTTCAACTAAATTATGTATCTCAATTGACTTTTAATACAAATTGTAAAAATGTAAACAGATTATTTACAATTTAAAAATGTTTATAACTCACTTTAAAATTAAAATATCGTAAATAAGCCAATATACACAGCAAATAATGTTCTTAACTTTAAGATTGATAATAGGTCAATTCACTTTATAGTATTAAAATTTACCATATGCACTACACAATAGGTTTGTTTAGTTGAACTTAAAATTATGATGTTGCTTATGAGTTATGGGTCAGAGAGAGAAAATAAATAGTGCACTGATATCTTTATTAAGTAATTATGTTTAAATCATAACAAATTTTGTGTAACCTGTTAGGATTATTATATACCACTTGAGAGAGGTGAGATTGTATTAACATTCAACGAAAAGTAAACTGTTTTTGTTTGCGTCCCCCGTTTTCTTGAGATTTTGTTTCAAATTAAAATTTTAAGCATTGATAGTAGGTATTAAAATTTAATTATATCCACGTGTGACAAAACCACGTGCTTAATACTTACTTACTAAAATAAAATATAACTGCTCTAGCAGACTATAATGAATATAATATAGCGTAATTGAACAATAAAACGTTTAATAATAATATTGTTATAAGACATTTAATAGAATAATAATGATAAAATTATAAATTTCTCTCTATTTTAGGTAATATATTTTATAATTGTCTTTGGCCTGTCTGATTGAAATCAATTATATTTATAAATCGTTTGTTTTATATTTAATAGGTACATAATAATTAATAATCATAAGAGTCGAGCATAAATTTAAAAAAAATTTAAATTTCTTATAGGTTATGCGCATTATATAGGTCGTGTGTGCGTGTAATGTGCATATAATATATTAAATATATTTATGTATCATAAACATATAGAAATACAATAATACCATTAAGACCCTAGCACACATGGATGTACTAAAAAAAAAACAATATATAAATATAATATATGTATACATATTTGTTAATATTGTGTACATAGTACATAACATATAAGTTAAAATAGTCTCGACGATGCTGTATGCTATATTATATACACACAGAGAATAATATTATAGGCGCCAAAAATGTGTACGAAACCCTCGCCGACCGGCTCTGAATGGTTCGAATTTCAAAACGCACATTCTCATCACAATAACCTCGTGCAGCCCGCCGCCGGACGTACATATAATATATATATTACACTATAAACATACGATGGACTCAACAGGTCCCTGCGGTGAACTGGCGCCACAGCCCCGCCACGACGGCACGACATATTATTACTATTAAACATGGAACACGTATGGTATAATATATTAAATAACTAAATACAATAATATACTATCGTTGTCATTCTCAATCCAATGGTATTTTCATTGCTTATCTATAGACAAGTATAATATTTAATATAAGCACTCTCAGGGTGGAAAATTGGAAAAATAAAATTGTCACTGTATACATTTATGTGATATAAGTTATAAATATAATCATATAGATGAACAAATTCAATTTATTTTTAAATTACCAATTTTCATAAAATGCAATGTTTGTATAATAAATAAAAAAAGTTGTTTAAAGATTCAAATTAATATTGATAAAATGCAACTAATACAAAAGCCATCGTGAATGAGTTTATAACGTTTTACAAATAAGGAATAAAATATCTTATAATCGAAGAGTCAAGTAATAAAAGCACTGTTTGTATATCAAGATTTCAAATAGAACAATTTAACAATTTTGTTATGAGACAGATAAGTAGATATTTAATAACGATTCAAAATCGTATTAAATCTTAATAGCTTTGGCCTGAGAACTTTTTATGAGCGATAAAAAGTTGTTTTAATGAATTAATAAATTCGATAACTAATATCAATTTTAAAAGTATTAAATCACCCGAGTTAATATTTAAATACAACGCTATACAAGTATTAAACTTATCACAGCATCACTAATAATAGTTTTGTTAATCCACACAAAATGATCGTTCACTTAGTGTAAAACCATTTTCGCATCAATGAGAATAAAAATTATATTTTTAGGTACTTGAGAATGTTTTACAATTTTTTAGCTATTAAATAAATGTTTACAATCTAATATGGATATTTTGGAGTTCAGCAGAGTGAGAAAATCATCACCTGAACATAAACATAATTACCTACATTAAATGAAAAATGTAACAAATTAAAATCCCTTAATTTCTCTAACAATGATGTTGGAGAAATTTGGCCACCTTATACAAATAAATAATATGTATCATAAATGTATGGTGCACGTAAAATACTTGAGCTGGTCTCGTTTAATCGGTCGGAGGCCGCAGCATGTCAAGTTTGGTTGTGTGGCGGCGGCGAGTGGCGACAGCGGGACAATACTATACCACCACACCGGACCGTTACTTCCGCACTAAATGCTGGCGTCATGTTTATAAAATATAATTTTGCAGGGGAGCGCCGGTCTTTACCTAAACCCATTTAATTTATTATCGACGTCTTTGTTGCAGTTGTTATTGTACAAAAATCGCGTACAGGCGTCAGGCGCCAACAATTTAACATGTAGACACGGCACGTTGGTTCCATTGTGAAAATTGAACGACAAATAATAATATTATCGTCTATTCTGAATTCACGTATAAATCGTCATAATGTATATTAAAAACATTGTATTAATACTACGATGATGATTGAACAGCGGTAAACATTAATGATTATCGAACCGATTGTTCTAAAGTCGAATTCGGTTTCCAAATACTGCAACAGGAAACTGCAACTGCAGATGCAGAACGGGGGTCGACAAATCGACCGCGTGGTCGATATGTGCAGGATGCACTAGAAGTGCATAGGTACTATATGCGCTTGTACTATGAACACATATACCGCCGTTCTCTTTCGGACGACTCCCGGGAGCATACGGGCGTGCACAAATTATTTATATTTTATTCTACGAGTCGCACATTGTACACCCGGGTTGGTGGGCGGATAATCGGGGTACCCATGAGAAAAGAGTGCGGACAACGTGCATCACGTCGTACCTACCTATACGTCATTTAATATTGTTGTCATACTCGCGTATCGCTGTATATTATCTGAAATACCTACAATATAATAATATAATACCCGCGTCGGTGGCGAGGAAAAAAAGGGAAAATCGGACTGGACCGTACAGGCGCCAGACGGCTGCTCCCACCCGCCACGTCTGCGAGAGGTACGAGCGTCGCGCGTAGTACCTATAATAGTACCTATGGTATACCGATACCCGTATACCTGCAGCGCCGCCGATACGACGTGTAGTTGTACATACTTCGGTCTCGCGCGTGCGTACGAAACTAGTCCGTTCTCGTTACCGCGACTGCAGTGAGGAAGAGAATTTATCGCCGGCGACACGTTTCGTCCGCGATATACGCTCGTCGTGGCGACCCGCAGTATTCAACCGTATGAGATCGCTGATCAGACGTTCACGCGACGGCTGCGGTGGACAACAAGCGCGACCACTGTCCCACGGACTCACACGCAGCCGTGTCGTCGTACTGGCACAACTACACTGCGCTGTCCAAAAACCGTAGCGCGCGCCAGCTCGTCGGCCGAGCGTATAACGGCCGGTAAAAGTTTCGTCGTTACCAGTGGCCGCGGTTTGAAATCAAACGATCCGCGGGCAGGCACGTCCCCGAAAACGACGGCGCGGTACACCTGCTGAGACGCAAAATCTGGCAACGGCGCAGCACACGCATCGTTTGGGAACCGTAACAAATGCGCGTGTAACACTCCGTTACAGCGTTGCCGCGGTTCGCTCCGGAACGTATCCGTCCGAACGGCCGCCACCGTCCGCCGTTGGATTCTAATCAATGATGCGCGTTTTCCTTTCTCTCTTCCCCCCGAACAACAATAATAACAATAAATAAATAATATAATAAGTGAACACTTACTGTTGTCCACTTGTCCGGTGTTGACTCTGGTCGTCGAATATTTGCCGTGCGTGTGCGTGGTTTGTTACGTTTCACGCTCCCGTGCAATGGAGGTGGACGAGTTTGATTCGGGCCGCTCGTCGTCGACGATTTCGTCGATAAACAGCCTCTTTTCGTTTACCAGCCCGGCTGTTAAGAAACTGTTGGGCTGGAAGCAGGGCGACGAAGAGGAGAAATGGGCCGAAAAAGCCGTCGATGCGCTCGTCAAGAAATTAAAGAAAACCAAAGGCGCTATCGAGGAGTTGGAAAAAGCGCTCAGCTGTCCGGGACAGCCGAGCAAGTGCGTCACCATACCCAGAAGTCTCGACGGACGACTGCAGGTACAATTTCATACTACTGTCAAACCTCTTATTTATGTCAAATACCTATATCTTGGTAATGTACATGTATTGTGTTTTGTTTCGTTCAGGTGTCGCATCGTAAGAGTTTACCACACGTCATATACTGCCGTGTATGGCGATGGCCAGATCTCCAAACCCACCATGAGCTTAAGCCACTTGACCATTGTCAATTTCCATTCTCTACTCAAAACAAACAAAAAGATGTTTGTATTAATCCTTATCACTACAAACGTGTTGAAAGTCCTGGTAAGTCAATCTCAATTTGAGTAACATTATTATACTAGTATAGACATTAACAGACATATTAAGCAGTGTTAAATGATGTTTTCTAAGAAAACATTGTATTTAATTATATTTTTTTCAATATCTTCTCCAAATACAGTACCTATAATGTCGACAGTAATTTTTTATTTTAACTACTTAGTTGATACGTTTATCATTATCATTGTCACATTTACAAGCAGTTTTTGCATTGATGTTACAATAGATTTTAAATTTAAATATTTTATATTCATTTATTACCAAATTGAAAGCGATGACGTCAACTGATGATCATATTTGTACAATTTTAGTTGGTATACTTATGTAACGATGTACATGTTACTGACACATCATTTATACCACACTCTGCGATTTTTGCTTAGGTCAGAAGAACACAGAAATGTAGAGTATGAGATTAATATAGCTAATCAGTCAAGTTTAGTTTGTGAAATAGGGACAATAGTCATCCCTATATTTTTAAGTAACATATTTAATTTGATTTACTATAGGTATAATAACCTATCTTATAGATAAATCATAATTTATTCAAACATTTTAACTCATACTCTGCTACACCTGTGATCTTCAAAATACTATTCTCAAGAACAGGGTTACTCAGGTGATAGTGTACTATATAATTATATTAATAATTAGTCATGAATAAACCTTGTAATATGTTGCTATAATATCATTTCTATTGTGTTAGTTTATTAATGCAGGTCATAAGTTTCTAGGATCTGTAAAATTTAACTTAGAAAACTTAATTTGTATCTATTCAACAATCTGGTCCTTAAGACTGATTTGTGTAGTGAAAAGAGCTAACCTACTACTCCTTAACTGGATAGAATTAGATTTAAATATCAACAGCCACTTAGTTTTAATAAACGGGTAGGTGTGTTGCACTTATTTAAAATTATTTTAAATTAACAAGCACAATATTTGATTTATTTCTCTTTTCAAATTATAATATTTACTTTTTAGTACTACCTCCTGTATTGGTACCCAGACAAAGTCAACTACCCCCTATGATGTTCCGTCAAATGCCGGAAAATCTTCAGTATAATAATTATAATCAAGGACCCAATTCTCCATCATCAAGTCCTCCACCAAACAGTCCTTTTCAGGGCAGCACAATGTCAGGTAAGTACACTTTTTAACAAATTAAAATTAAATCTTGAATTAATAATATACTTTTATTTAAAATGTTCTTAGAATTAGGAAGTTCTCCTGGGCCTGACGAAAAAGCTATGAGTCCGGCATCTGGAACTCAAGTCTTGTACCAGGTAAAATATAACAAATACTTAAAATTAAATTTATTAATAAATAACTTAACTAAAAATTGTTTATCCATCAGGAACAAGCTAGTTGGGCAAGCATAGCATATTATGAATTAAATAGTAGAGTTGGAGAACTTTTTCATTGTCAATCTCCTGTTGTAGTTGTAGATGGTTTCACTAATCCAAGTAATAATTTAAATCGATTTTGTCTGGGACAACTTTCCAATGTTAATCGAAATCAAACAATTGAAAACACAAGGCGACATATTGGAAGAGGTAACATATAATATAATATATAAATATACACCCAATATAAAAGTATCAGATTAGTGGTAATTTATTTTATATTTCACTTGTTGATTTATGATAAAATGAATAAAATTTTTTACTTGAATAAATACTCAATATTTATACCTACATGATGGATGCAGAATTAAAAATATATTTAAAAAATAATAATTTAAAATAAATAATGATTATTAAAGATATTTAATATCTATAGAATTAAGAATTCAATAAGTGATTACCCTAAAGCAGCTGTTTAAATAGTCTATTGAATTGAATATCTTTAACTTTGAAAGCAATGATAAATTATTATGTTCAATTGGGCTAATTAAACTGCCTATATATAGTTGGTAATAAAAAAATACATTATAAGCTTGGTTTCTGTTATTTTTCTAAGTGTTGTTTCATGCTTAGTAGTTCATTATACACAATTCAATTTAGAAATATGTATTTTGGTATCATCAAATTACATAAAATGTAAACTGAAACTGCAATTTTAATAAGCTATTTAAATATAAAATCTAAAAAATAGGAATTATTAGATATCACTTTCCAAAATTAAAATATAACAATATTAATGAATACATATAGCTTACTGTTTTAAAATAAATGAAAGTATTTTATTAACACCTTTAAATGTAATATTACAATAATTATAATTTTTTGTATAAAAAAATTATATTTTTATAATTATTTCAAATTTAAAAAAAGAGAGAAGATAAATTTTGTCATGTAGAATAGAAATAGAGTATAGACTATTCGTTGAGTAAGTCGCTATAATAGATATGTTAAATTTAATTCAATGATAAATGATTACATGCAAATAACGGTTCTGAGTAGAGATGATTTGTTAGTCTACTGTAGGGTGTTTCATAAAGTGCACAATTTTTGAACATGAAATAAATTAACCAAAATCATAAACAAATTCAAACTTTTTATTTCATTATACTTAATAAACATTTCGATTTAATGCTTAAAAGTTATATCCACTTCCACTATTTCTGCAGGCCATCATTTCCAGGACTCATATTCATACTTTCTTGCACTACTGCAATGTTTGGCTTTGTACAAATTGTACAGTTTTGACCTGGACTTTTTTGTGTTTCAACTGAATCAGTTCAAATTTTCGTACTAACCTCAGAATTTTTGATTCAGTAGGAGCTTCCACAAGTCCAAAAGTTATGCAAAGTTTACAGGCAGTCACAGCTGAGTACTAGCCTTTTTTGTAATTGATTTTCAGTATGAGTATATGTGATGATGATGGTTTCTGAATCTGGGTGATAATAGATGACACCCTTTTTTATAAAAATATTATTAAGCATTAGTTATTATAAAATTGTATTTTACTATTAGTAATGTAATATTAAAAATAAACAATAGTATAAAATTAATCTAAACATTATAAAATATAATAATATGTGTAAAAGTTTCAAATTGGCTTGAAAAATATTTTTAAATTACAACAAAAGACCTAAAATTGTTATTCTTCATTTAAATATATTTTTATCCACATTAGAATTTCATGAACAATGTAAACAGTTAAATACCTTTTTAAACCTATTTTTATTTTATTTAGGCATTCAATTACATTATATCGGAGGAGAAGTATATGCAGAATGTTTATCAGACTCCGCAGTGTTTGTACAGTCACGTAACTGCAATCACCATCATAATTTTCATCCATTAACTGTGTGTAAAATACCAGCTGGATGTTCTTTACGTATTTTCAATAATCAACAATTTGCAACATTACTCACAGAATCTGTAAATTCTGGTTATGAAGCGGTATTTGAACTCACTAAAATGTGCACAATTAGGTAAATACTAAATAATTTATTGCTGATAATAATTTTGTATCATAAAATTTAAATTAATTTATCTATTTAGGATGTCATTTGTGAAGGGCTGGGGTGCAGAGTATCATCGACAAGATGTTACCAGCACACCTTGTTGGATTGAAATACATTTAAATGGACCATTACAATGGTTAGACAAAGTTTTGTGTGCCATGGGATCACCTCACAATGCAATATCATCTGTTTCATAGGCCAGCATGCTTAATACACTTATTTTTCTAGTATCAAGGTGTCATTTTTATTTTTGTTTTAACTAAATCGTCATTATGACTTAAACTCACAAAAGTTGTGCACAAAATTAGTAAAATAATTTTGCTACAAAATGCTAGGTATTTTTATATTAAATAAAACTTGTGAAATTTAACTTTTTGTAAATTTACTTTTATTTTGCTGTACTATATGTTTGGTGCTCGCTATTCTTTTTACTATATATGTATATTTTTTTTTTGTTAAAGACCATTTATTTATTGTTTTTTTATCCTAAATATTTAAAAAATAAAAAAATTAAAGCTTTTTTTTTTAGAGAAAAGTAATATTTTTGAAACTTGAAAGATGTAAAACATATTTTCTTCTAAAACTTATTTGACATGTTAGTTTTGTATAATATGGTGTATTATGCTCTCTAATCAAATATATTTATTTATTTATGCATTATTGTTAGCAACTTAATAATCTTATTAAGAGGGTGCAATAGTATAAAAACTAATTTTACACCTTCCAAGTATACACAAAAAATTATAGAGTATAATTTTATCTAAATCTATTAAAAATAAAATTTTTGATATTTATATTAATTAGTTAATTAATTTTAAGGATAAAATGTGAAAATATTTAAAATTCATCATCAAACACAGGTTGATTGAAATGGGATATCAACAATCTGGTTTTTTGTGAATTTAGATAAAAATTTTCCTCCATAATTTTTATTGAAGATCATTTTTATTTTCTCTTATAAAACTGTATTCTTTTGAAAAGCTTAAAACATATTTTTCTGTAAAAAAAAAAAAAAGTTATTGTGTATTTTTTAAGTGGTGCATGATTTTTTTCTGTTGCTTTTATTTCATGTTTGTTGAACTATAATATATAAAATAATTACTATTTTTTTCTAGTTAAAATTGTCGGCTATTTTTTTTTTTAACCTATATTGCACACTGTAAATTACATACAAATTATAAGTCATAGTGTTCAAATTTTGTTAAAATTATTTTAGTAAATTATTTTTGCTCATTCAAAATGTTCATTTTAATTAATCTATAATTTATTAAATTAATAATGGTATGCTACTTACAATGACAGTAAACTATATACAGGGTGTTTTATGATGTTTTTCTTTGTTTCTTGTTTTTAAATAATCAGGCAACAATGTCACTGTAGTTTGTCTTAATCAGAAGAGCATAAAAACAATCTGTAAGTTAATAATTTTATAAAGTCGTTATTATTTTATAGTAGGCGTGCAATATGAGAATATTATGTAAGGTGTATATTTAAATTGTTGAATTTTTAAATAAGAGTGTTCAATGTTCCCGACACATTCAGTAATGTAATATTTATGTTTGGTTTATTGATTATTATATTGTAAATTTTTTTTTTTGTAGTTGTATTAATTTTTCCTAAACGTTTTAGTTTATTGTCTACAAATATACATAAATATATTATATCGATCTTATTTTTTAAATATTTTGAATACTATGAATAATAGTTTTTTTGTGAAAAAAATATATTTTGCTAGAAAGACAATATTATTTCTTGATGATTATTTTTTTTATCCCTCACACTTCAAATTAAATCGTGAATAATTATTAATTATTAATCACCTGACTTAATCTATTTTGCACCGCTTGGTAAACAATTCAAAAACGCATATATTTTTACCCTCGAAACCGTTGCACTACATTTAATTACACTTCAACAACGCGCGGAGTGTCTCGTCCAAAATCCATCGACGATGGTGTTACTTTTTAATCACTCAATGTCAAGTCAATGAGACGAGTCAAGTGTCGGATGTCACGATTAATTTCTGGTCGTTGTTTTTTTATGGCATCGTTCGACTTGCAGACGGTCATTGTCTCGGCAGCGGATTGCAATCCACCCCGGACGATCCATTTGCACATGATAGGATTCCACGTGCGGCAATGGTGATAGCCGTACTATTGTTTCTGGACCTGATGACGTCCGCGACCGCCGTCGGAATGACGTCGTTGGCCGACGCGGTCGCTGCCCAAAACAACGGCAGTAGGTACGTGACCGAGTTGTTCGATTGTCTGGCGAACGTGACTCGAACGTACTTCGACCGACGGACCATTTACATTTACTTCCGACAGTCGAACACAACAGAGTACGCTGCCGCAGTGGACGCATTCGCCATGGCCGTGCAGAGCCCCAAAATGATAGTGCCCTATTCGTCGTTTACCACGCAAGATACCCCGCTGCAGCAGCAGACGAGGGGCGGTGTGTTCGCGTTCCTGGCCGAAGACAAGTTGTACAGGCAACTGCTGAACACCAAGCAGCGAAGTCACTTCGTGATAGTGTGGACGAGGCAGATACCCATGTACAACGTCCGGCGCACATTCAAAGAATTCTGGGGCGTGGGTAGGCAAATAAACGTGGTCGGGCTGGTCCGGATGGACGGCGGTGGCGTGAACGCGTACACGTACAGGCCGTTCTCCAATTACGGGTGCAACAAGCTGGGCCGGCCGTTCCTGTTGGACCGTTGGGTGGACGGGCGGTTCAAGGTGGGCGTCGACCTGTTCTCCAGCAAGCCGAAGATCGGCAACATGCTCGGCTGTCCGCTCCGGTGCGCCGGCAACGAGCAACCGCCGGACACGGTGTTGCGGCCCGTCGGCGGCACGCCGCAGCAGCCGCTGTGGACCACGTTCGGCGTCGGCGGCAAGGTACTGGAGATCGTGGCCAAGCAAATGAACTTCACGCCGGTCATCATGTCACCGAAAGGCGACGTGTCGGAGATGTACAGCTGGTACAACAGCGCCGAAGTGTTGGACAACATAACGGCTATGCTGGACTCGGAGGAAGCCGACTTGGCGTTCGGCTGGTATTCGTACGCCACGCACAACAGCGCGTACAGCACCAACACGGAACTGGCTCGGACTACGAGCATCGACTGTCTGGGATGGGCCGTTCCGTACCGGGCGGGCCCGCCACCGCAGCCCTGGACCAATTACGTTTATGAGTTCGACAAAATTGGATGGTTGTTCATCGGCTCTATGTTCGTAATTGTTGTCGGTAATTATCAATTATGCAGTAATTATTTTCAATACCTATAATTATGAGGTATTATTTAGATCTGTCGACACCCGTACAGAGTAGGTTTTAAGTTTGTGAGACGTCTGTCGAAAAACTATCGCGCCTTCAAAGACGCCACACTTAGCAACTAAAAGTTTAAGTAACACTTAACAGCAAGTGGTATTTAATGTTTGGATAAACTATTATTACGTAAAGCCTTAAAGGGTTTTGTATGTAGCTTCAAACAACATTTATTAAGACATTTTTGAGCGTGCCTACCAACTTATATTATTAATTACCAATGTATTTTGTTTTATTTGAATTTCAAAGTACATAACTAAGTTGGAACTTTGGAAGTATCTTTCCTTTAAATCAAACGAATAATTTTCATCCTATTAATGTAATATATTATTTATTGCGGAACAATTAAAAATTTGCGTATCTATACTTGAAAATACGTAACACAGCCATGTATACTGTTTAGGTAATATAATTGCATAATATCACAGTCGTGAATTCGGATGTTAGAAGAGGGGGTGGGCTAAAATTATAAATAGAACCATTTCTAGAAAGAAGCTTAACTAGCTAAATTGATGTGCACAAAATGGGGGATTCCTCAGAAATTTTATGTACAAAGAATAAAGTTCGGAAGAAAATATTTTGATGAAGTAGATCGATATTATATTATTACATTATATAATTCAATGTATAAAAATATATTTGAATAGCACATGTTTGCTAATCAGCTATAGATTGAAAAATCAATAAACCAATAATTTCTTTTCATCGGGACCTGTGAACTGTAAACAACACAAAGTTACAATCGAACGACAATAAATAATAAATAACAAATTGCACCATTGCACTACATTAATATTGGCGTGTATAATCATTATCATTGCAGGCGTGTTCCACTTCTTTCGGAAGCTGAAAAAGCTGCAAAACGTGGATTCGGTAGTGTTTTTCGTGTACCACACGGCCATCGACCAGCCGCTGGGCGTGCGGCCCGTATGGTGCAGCCTCCGAGCGTTCATGGTGCACTGGCTGTGGTATTGCATGGTCATCAACGTGGCGTACAAAGCGTCGCTTGGTAGCTTCATGACGGTACCCGCGCACGGTGCAGAATTCACCCGGATGGAGGAGATACTGGACTCGGAACTGATCACGATGGCCACGCCACGGTCGATGCAAATAATGAACGCGACGACGGCCACCACGCGGATGTCGCGGACGTTTATGAAGCGGCTTCAGCTGCTACCGCCCACCAACTTCGAGCGGATCATCGACCGGCTGGTGGTGAAGCGCGACATCGCCCTGTTCGAAGTCAAACGGTTCATGTACTACTATTCCATACCCCAAGCCAAGCGCATCAAGGTCAAGATACCCATACGGTTTCTGCCCGGCTGTCTGTTGCGCACGCACACCACGCAGATCATGTTCAACGGCGGCTCGTATCTCATCGACCCCGTCAACGCCGTGCTCAGCACGCTCTTCGAGACCGGCATCGTCGACCACTGGATCACGCACCTGGGTTCCAACAAGGTGCTGCCGTTAGATAAGATCCGCGGCCGGGTACTCAAGCTGGTCCGACTCAAGGAAGCGTTCCTGTTCCTGTTGTTCAGCTACGCCGTCGCGTCCGCCGTGCTCGTGGTCGAGATCTGCTGGTCTGCGAGACTGCACCGCCGGCTATTATCGCGGCTTATCCTGCAGCGGACGTGTCCGGTCCGATCCCGCACGGTGGTCAAAAATCACAACTAGTATAAATAGCAGCACGTAGGCAGAAGAATAGTAGGTAGTATTTTTCAGACGTAGTAGCCACGTTTTCAAATTATATTTGTTCGCTTGCTAGTTATTATGTCACCGAATTATACTGTACACAATTATATTGTTATAACCAATAATGTTTTTATAAACCATGCATTTCACATTTAACAACATTCAAAAATGTTTTAACTGTCAAATTCCCGCGTTCAAATTTTGACCTAAAAGATGGTAGGTACACATTTTTTCGAAAATATTGCAATTAATAATTATTATATCATTAGTCTTTAATTATTGTGTAATAATATTTATTATTTATATCATATTATATTAACTTATGAAGTTATATATTATGTAACTTAAAGTTTAATAAAATCTTTCTGTAAATATCGTACAATAGTAAAAATAGTACAATAAATAAATAATATTAGTGCATATAATAAAATTCATAGTAATAAAAAATACATAAAAGTTATTACGAATAATGTTTTTAAATTATGACGAAATGTTATGTACTTATGTATCGTTTAAGTAAGTAATTTCGTCCTAATTGAAACTTTAATGTCTATAAAAAATATTTATTACAACAAAATAGTTTGCAACTTTTTTTGATTTTGATGAATTTTATCAAAATTCTAAATTTAAATACATAAAAAAAAAAAATGTGCATGTATTTTAAATATTTTTGTAAAAAAATAAGAATAATTTTTGTGAGATCTTACATTAAATTTTCAAGAATGTTGACTAGGCAAATAATTTTTTATTGATATTAACAAAAAAAAAAAAAAATTGAAAATTTCTCATAGGTAGGTACTCCAAGAACTAAAATATTTAAAAATAAGTTTTTTAAAAAACTTAAATAATACGCTTTAAATAAAATGCATTATGTAAATCTAAAGTAATCAGATTTTTCTTTATTAAAAAATGTTATTAATTCGTAGTTTTAAATTTCTATATTCGGACCTACTAATATTCGTATTTCGTAGCTATTCATTATTCGGAGTAACCATTTTTCGTTGCATCAACTTTATTCGACTATCACATTCGGAGAAACTGATATTCGGAGTAGTACAAGTAGTACTATATTCTGATCGATCACCTTTCATGGTAATTGCGTTATCTCGTATTAATTTAACCCATAGAATACCTACATATTATTACTCTGTGATTTTATCTTATATTTTTCTTATCAATTTTTTCATTTTCATGTATCTAAATTCCAAATTATAATATTTATTTTAATATTACATTTTACTCTAAGTTCATAAACTAATATTTTATGATTTACTTCATTTAGAAATTAAGATTGAAGAGTGATAGGTGTTGAATTTTTAGTTTTCATGTTCATAAATCTAGTTTAAAAAAATCAAGCATTACTGTTTATATTTAAATAATTAAGAAAAAAATATATTTAACATGTTGGCTTGTCAACAATCAAAAAATCTGCTATACAGTGTAACGAATACAAATATAAAAAGGTGTCTAGGTTCAATATCTGAAGATTCCGGCCATGCTCAATATGTATATAATCGTAACCCTAGAAATTTGGAAAAATTAAGAATTGCTTACAAACCAGCCGGTTATCATCTCGAGAAACCCGGTCGTGAATATTGGCATAAGTAAGGATGCAAATTACTGAAGTTTATTCAGGTAACTTAGTATGGTTTTATTTTCATATTATATATTTTTATCATTAGGCTACAAGTAACAACTAGTAAAAGGCATGTGACAGCTAGTGTTTTACATCATACAGGTATGGTTCCAATACTGGCAACTACTGCAGAATGGGCTATACGTAAACAACTTTTCAGGTTTGTTTATTTTTCGATAAAAATATCTATCAGAGTTGATTTTATAATTAAATGACTATTACGTCTTTGTACCTATTTATTTGTATACTCAAAAACAGTTAGATATTTATTAGTTGGGTATTATCATAATTGTACTCATGACTTTCTAAATATTGTTCATTTTATTCATAAAAAATTAACTACATAATTTTTTTTAATATGTTTATATATTCTTATTACTTTACGTATTGTCTTTCAATTGTTCATATAATTCAATAGAATATAATAATATCTATAAGTTAGCAAAATTTGATAATGCTTGGTTATTTGTGGTTTTTTTTTAAAATTGTTTATTATTTAGTACTCTAGATAAAATGGCATTTATAACTATTGGAAAAGTGTTAGCACAACGTTGTTTGGAATGTGGTATTTCTGATATGATAAATACCTATGAAGTGTTGCCGAATAGTAAAGTAAGTCATATCTTACCATATTTAATTTTAATTAATTTTTTATCTTAATCTATAATCATATAATTTTATTGACACATTTTAATTTCAGCTTGAGGCATTACTAGAAAATTTATCTAAAGGTGGTATACGTTTAGAAGAAGATCCAAGATACAAGTTTCCAAATCCTTGGGATCAAGAAAGACCAGAAAAACCTTGGGAACATTATTAATTCAATTTCTTGAACATAGATGTGTATTTTATGCATTTATATTTTGTGTTAATGTATTAAACAAAAATATATTTACGATAGTAGTATTTTAATTTTTAATAAAAAAAAAAAAGTAGAAATTAGTTTTTGTTTTGACAAGCTTTGATGGACTTGAAGGGTCTAGTGTCTTTTTTTTGAAATGTATGTTTTTACATTATCTAATAAAGAATAATTTTTTCTACATTTTGCTGCAATAACCAGATCTATCAATATTATTAAGTACATATTAGATGTATTTTTACATTATTGAATAACAATTTAACGATATTTTGGTTTAAATTGGGGGGAGGGGAAACGTAAAAAAATCTCAAAATATAATCTAATAACAACACTATATTATTGTCAAATGTGATGAAAACAATTCCAAAAAATATGAGAGCAATTAAATAAATCATGATTAGAATTAATATTATTTAGATGTTTAGATGAGTATTTTTTGTAGGTAAACATTTAGGAACATAATAGTGGAAAATACTTTAAAACCGATATCTAAATGGTTTGTGTTCATGACTATTTGAAAGGAAGAAAATGTGTATTTTTTAATAACTATAATATGATTAAATTACAGTAGAATTTTCTATAATAAGCAAACAGACATTTTATTTTAATTTATTAAGTATATATTTATGATCTGTAAAATGGTGACTTGAACAAAAAAAAAAACTTGTTTGGTTAGAAGAAAAGCTTGTTAAGTGACAGTTCATTAACTTGAATATGCCAGATTAAGTGTATAAAATTATATTTTTATAATTGTTCAAGTCACATATTGGCATTGCCAACTTTTTATTTAACGATGATTTGAGGGAGTTATTTGGGAGAGTAATAAAAGAAATATTAAGTATTATGGCATTTAAATGATCTAGATTTGAGTGATATTTGTTATGATGAATGGAAACAAGAACAGAAATTTTAAGGTTGTTGTGAAGTGTTATGGCTAGAGTATTATTAAATAAACAGGTTAAATGATTGAAATAAATTTTGATTTTAGGCTAGTTGATCCCCAAATTTGACTTTAGTAAGCTATTCCAAAACAAATCAATTGATTGTGGAGAAGTATTAAATTGTTAAGGGTGATGTTGATATACTTTTTTTAAATTTATTATTTATTTTATATATATAATATTTTAATTACTAAAAGACAATTGTAACATTCATTTGTTTTCATTTTAACATTAATATAACAATAAGAATTTAAAAAAAATGTCAAAATTAAATTATTTATTAAATAACAGTTTCAATTTTATAATAGGTATGTTAAATTAAACATTTTATATTTGTTTAGATGCACAAGTATAAATATATTTAACTTTATTTGTTAACATTGTCTTTAATCCATTGGTTTACCCAAGCACTTATTTGAGTGATATTCTGTTCCATATCTGCAAAAGTTTCATTAGGTAACTCATTTACAATGTTGTTATCATATGATTCCTTAGCTTCTTCAAGTAAAGTTTGGAATATTTCACATTCAATATTTTTTTGAAGCTTTTTAGTTGAATATCCTCTAGAATTAAAAGTAAAACATGAAAAAAAATCAATTTTTATTATTTATTTACAGGAATGAAATAAATTGTGTTAGAAACAAGAAAACTATTTTGTCATTTATTAGTTATATTGTAGTTTTTTTGTAAATAATAGGTAGAAACATTGAGTTTATACCAGATCAATATGAATTTATAATTTTGTGGCTTATATTTAGTGCTAAGAAAACACCATACTATCACTTTATAAGGTGTTTAACCTAAATAATTTTAATGGTATACTGAGAAAACCAAAAATTTTAAATCATGAATATATTTAAATAATGGTTAAAGTGACCAGTAACATTGCTGATTGTTGCATAATTATAAGATTATATAAAAAAAGACATGGTTTTATGCAAAAAAATTATTCAGGCTACATTAATATTATTTAAGAAAGTATCTAAACTATTTGTATGATGTAGAAAACAATATATTCTATATCATAGCATTTTAATTCTTTTTATATCATTTTAAAAAGAAATTATTAAGTTTGAAAAATAAACAAATAATGGATTTTAAAAATAGGTAATTACTTTGTATTTATATCAAAAAAAAACAAAAATGCTACAACACAGAAAATATCATCTTTTATTTCAAAATTTGTAACTAAAATACAATTTACATAATGTTTCCAATCTCAAAAGCTACAGTATAAACTATGAAACTGTTTTGAAATTTTCTATCAACAAATAATAATCCAGAATAACAGGCAAATATTGTAAAATTAATAAAATTTTTATAGTTTTTAAAGATCTTAGGATCTAAATTTTACAAATTTTAATATTATATATAACTAACCTTTTTTCAAGACGGTCAAACAATATTGTATTATTAGTTCTCAACACAAATACTACATCAAACCAACGTTCAGGAAAGAAATCACAACCATGATAATCAATTATTTTACCTCCTTCTTCCATTCTTGATTCTAATTCATCTAATAACTAAATATTTAAGACAATTACATACAAATTAAAAATAAAACAAACTCTCTATAAGCACTTACTTTGTCTTCATCGAGGATATGGCAATCCAATTCTTCATCATAACCAGAATAACAATTACAACGCTTAGCTACTTGACCAACTTCAATCCATTCCATATCTAATCCATTTCGAATTAATTCTTCACACAGTTTTGATTTTCCTACACCAGGTGTACCTAAACAGGACCATTATGAATACTATTTATCAAAGAACCACTATATAAGCAAAGATCAGACATACATTCTTCAGTACTATTTATAACATTACTAAAAACATTAAATACATACCAGTAATTAGAATATTTGGTTTACTTCTCATTTTGAAATTATTATTGTATATTTGTATTACCTATTTAATATTTACTATTTCAGATTATAATACTATTGTATTATACAATTTTACTTGAAGAATTATTATTGTTTATTTATCAACCTTTAAATAACACAATAACAAAAATTAAAATTTAATAATTATTTATTGTTCATACTTTTTATGAAACCAATAATCATGAATATTGAATAGAGTTCTGTATCTGTATTCTGCATACCTACTAACCGATAGCTACCACGAGTTATAATTATCTAAATTATCTTAATTCGTGATAATGTGTATCTACTTAGTACCTACCATGATACCATCTAATACCACAGAATATATTTTTATATGATTGATACGAACAAAGTGTATTGATAAAGATGGGATCAGTTCTTCCCATTCCGATTTCCGACACGATACACTTTGGGCACAAAATGCATAGACTTATAGACTATAGTCAGTGGCGTATATAGGGGGGGGTTTTAGGGGTTCAAACCCCCCCGAAATGTATGGTTGGTATTGGCCTTGATTTTGATTGTTATAATATTATATCATATTATTTAATATTATTATTATTATTATTATATAATGTCAGGATTTCTATGAAATACTACAAGATAACGACGCGTCGTAAGTCGTGACGGACCGCTGCGAGTTGTCGACGGTCTATATACATATAATATATAGTTAGTATAGAAGTCTGTGTTCAATATACGACGATAATCTAAAGACGAAATTATCGATATTATTATTTCTTATTATTAGGTTGTTAATTATTATGAAGAACCAGACAAACAAAATTTAGTTTGTTTTCGGATGTCAGTTGTTTCGTTAAGTGTCGCGTGTGTAACAAAATATTAATTATTAAATATGGCATCACAACCTTCATTATTACATTTTTTTAATAAAAAAGTAGCTGTGACTGAGCCTGAAAAACATGATGATAATCCTTGTTCATCCACTACTATCAATAATAGCAAAATTGATAGTAATACTGATTTAAATGAATTAAATGTCTATAATTATTAAAATAAAGTTAGTTTATAATATTGATTAGGTAAATAAATTTTTTTTAACCCCCCCGGAAATTAATTTCTATATACGCCACTGACTATAGTAGAGTAGGTATAAATGTATTATATTATGTATGGTTTATGGCTTTTGCTATGTTCCAAAGTTGTTTCACAAAAGCACAAAACGAACATAATACGCTCATTGAAATCTATAATTTGAATGTGGAAAGTATGATATATTATTATTTATTAATTTACAAGATACTGAAATAATAATACTTATGTGCTGAAATGCTCATCAAATAGTGTTGTCAGAAAAAGAATGTTAGAAAGAAATGGCTTATACTAAATAATGATGTGGCTATCTTTGTCTTATATTATTTATTTCTAATTGTCTATAAAATATCATAACAAATTATTAATTATGCATAAAATATTTGTAATTATGTTTTTAAGAAAAGCAAAATATTTTGAATCATGATTAAAATTTCCATTTTTATGGTACTTGCCAATTAATCATACATCAATATTTATTAATCAATATATTAGGAATATTTATTATTTTTATGTTCTTATAAGAATACCTTTATTATTTAAAATTGTACAAACTATTTTTTATAGTTTGATAGTTTGATAGCATATTATAAATTATAATATACTGTGGAATTTTTAATACCAATTAGGTGTATCATAGTATCATACTACTATAGTATGCTTAGTATTTTGGTTTGTTAAATTTATTATCATTATATTATGCACGAGGTAGTCGCTGTATTGCACAATCCCTGGAATAGGTACCTATTGTACCTAACTTGTGTTATCATCACGGACTAATAGATATTATTATTTATTATATCTCAGTTTGTGGTTGTTATACTAATAAGTTATAAGTTATTTTAAACATTTTAATGTTTGTATTTATAATAAATCATAAATTATTTATTATAGGCAGTAAAAAATGAAGTAAATATTATCCACTGATTAAGTGAGTGAGGTCGTGTAAAGAAAGAAATCATTTTAAATTGCATACAAACAATGAATGCACTAATTTTTAAGTATACTTAGAATTTAAATATAATTTTTTTTACAACATTTAAGGACTTGGTGATTACAAAACTATTATTTCATCAAAGTTTTATTAAGATTTAACTGATATACACAAAATATGCATATTATTTAATTATGCATTATTCTCAATAAATTCTAAATAAAAAGGTTGAAGATGAAGAGGCGTCCTAACACGAGAAACCCGTAAATTACGTATTTATATAAGACTGATGCCTGTATCTTACATTTGAATGTCGACTACTGAAAATTTGCAACGCGTATCGTCGAATTAAAAAGT